GAGCAAAGAAATTGATTAGAGCGGGGTTTGAACCTGCGACCTCAAGACGGTATCTGTACTGCACAAAATGAAGCAGAACTGCGAAGCACTGTAGATAAGTATATAGGATGGAGCTATTAAGCTCCAATATCGTCCTGGTGATCACTGCTTTAACTTAGTTTCATCTATGTTGCACAATTTGTAAAATTCACATATCATAAGTACGTATAAAAGGTATTCCTACCCAACAAATATCCCATCTTATTTTTTTCGCTATGCGACTTGGTCACAAGGGACGAAATCAGCGAGTGTTTCCGAGCTGAGTAGAGCAGCCCACCGGGACCCACGGCCGCGGCCTACCGGCCTTACTCGCCCCGTTCCGGCGCGCTTACTCCCCCGTCGGTCTTGCAAAATTCTTCGTTTCACGGCCGAGACAAAACAAAATCACCTACAATGTACATTACGATCGGAAGAAAAAAACAATACGGCCTAATTGTACACTGCCTATCGCCGAACTAAATGATGACCCAGGGGTAAAATTACCAAGCAGTCGCTATACAATTTGATGAAGTGGAAAACAATGAATGCTAATGCTTGGTACAATCATGCTGCCCTAAAAGGGAAGGAGATACATTCGATGGACAGTATATAATTCTTGATATCGGGTATAATATGAATGGCGTGATTAGCAATACAATAGGGCCCCTTGGAATTTCTGCTAATGGTCTTTGTTTCAAATGCGTAGACGGACATTTCGCGCATTCCCGTAGCAAAGGAACTCCGAAATTAATCTCTATTTTTTTTTTAAAGTCTGAGCCGAGCTGAAAGGCCTACATGAACTCTTTGTTAAATGAATTAAAACAAATATTGCAATGAGATTTTTGGCTAAGCAAGGTCACACAACTATATGTTCCGACACACCTGTTCCGACTGCACATATTTCTATTCCTTTCCCTAACCATATCCGGGAGTAACACAATCTCATGTGCGGGTTGTCGGGACATAGGGGTGTCGGAACATAGAGCAGTCATCAGCAAGAACGACTGCAACAAGGAATCCCCTGCCATCAGACAAAAAGACTTAGGAATACAGACTTTGAAGTTCTAAAATCAGGAATCTGTTCCATGTTACCAGGGACGTCGTAAACACTATTTACTCATAATAATAATAATAAAAAACACCCCCAACGGGAGGCTGTGGTCCAATGGTTACGGTGTTCGAGTCACATGCCGTGGTACGTGGGTTCGAACCCCGACGGGGAACATGGTGCTTGTGTGCTTGGGCAAGACACTTTACTACAATTGCCTCTCTCCACCCAGGAGTATAAATGGGTACCTGTGAAGGTAGAGACCAAAATGCACCGATCTCAAGCTGCTGCACTGAAAACTGGTCTCGTGGCCCGATGAACCGATTGGTATAAAGCGCTATTTAAGCACCACATTAATGGTATTTATAAGCCTATACGGGGTAACTGTGAACATTAAAAAAAAAAAACTTTGAGCATTTAAAACAGATTCAGGGGCACGTCTCATGGAGATGCTAAGCACAGAATGTTGCTGAAAACACATATAATATATTGGAAACTTTGTAGTAAACCCATCAGATTGACGTGTGGCTTTTCGCTGAATCTCAGCTGATTTCTGCTCAGCATACAAAGCTGCTTAGCAAAAGTTTGGAGTTTAGAGGTTCCACGAAATCGAGCTGAGAGCTATATCTTGGACGTTAGACGCAAAGCCACTGATAAAGTGAAAGCCTGGCTATAGGACTAGTTCTCAATGGAAAAGCGCCGCATGGTGGCGCTCAGAAGCAAGGCGGCAATGTGTTAATTTTATTTACTGAAAATTAAAGATAATGACCACAATTCACTGAAAATTAAAGATAACGACATCTTATAGTACAATTTTCTTTTCAATTTTAGAGATAACCTATTCTATGTTATATTCCCTTCCCCCAAAACCACCCCTATAACGGTTGCCAATCCCTGAGCCCAGGTCTAATGTAGGCCCCCCCCAAAAAAAAAAACACTCTATGCTAAATAGACCCACAAGTTGTTTTTGAGAACAAAACCCCGAGTTGGAAGCTACAAGTCTCAAGTCAAATGGTTGACCTACGAAAATATTTCTACAATCAGTCCCAAGTATAGACCGCAAGGACCTTTTATTCGAAATGAGCTGAGGGTTCACAAAATATTAATTAAGAATTTAAAGATTTTTGGTCCCTTAAGACTATACACGGCCTTGATACTAAACAGAAAAAAATAATCCAAACTCGAATTCGAATCAGTATTTTACCGAATCCGACCGCCTCATCACACCGGCAAATCGCCCCGTTACTCAGGGCAGTAATTACCGCCGCGCGCTGTCACGTCGATCATGGACGGTACTGTAAGTACAATACGCACGCGGTTTATAGACAGTATACGGCTCCCATTCAAAAGTCAGATTTTTTCAATTGAGCGAGAGAAACGGACTTCATGCCCCGGGCAAGGCGAAAGGAATCATCGGCCGAAAACGAAGACCCAAAAGAGACAAGCGCTCGTGCACAGACAAGCTTATTTAATTTTCAGGCGTGCAAGGACGAAGACTGAATGATTTTTTTGTTATCTTAGTTTGGCTTTTTTTCCCCCAAGGAAAATGGACAATTTATATTATTTGGCAAAGCTTGTGAGAATGTAGGCAAAGCAAATCCGATAATTGTCTTGTTGGATACGGTCACAATGACAGATGCTTTGTCCCAATTCGATCTCCATATGGTCAAATGCACATGGGAACTATTTCGTAGAGCACAAATTTAGCGATTGCTTGACCACCAATACCAACAAGTATTTGTGTACAGTATTACAATTCGAGTACCCCCTTGTTCCAGAGAAAGATACGAGGATTAATAAGACGCGAGAATTAATGACAGCCATGCGATGGACACAAGTTGGCACAGTTGAAATATCTTTTTTGAGCCGACTATATACAATGGAAAGATACAACATCCACAATAGTAGGACTGACATCACAAGATAAAGGGGGTTACTCAAACTGATTTACTTTTTTTTTTAGGGTGGGTATAAGCCCCGGCCCGAAGCGCCTACTGTTTGTTGGTAGTTCTCAACAAAATAGTGGGGAAAAACGAAGAACTTGGTACATGCAAGTGGTACTTGGTTGTTTTCCCCAGAAAACTTTCACGCGGGAATATAACTAGGAGGTTTTGATGATGAGAGTGGTCAGTGATGAGAGTGGTCAATGATGTTCTAAAAACCAGGTGTGAAGGACAATCGATGATGTATTGTGGTAAAAGATTCCACTCTCTTGTGGTTCGGGGGGGGGGGGGGGGGTGGCGTGGACACTGCCGTTTTGTGCTGAATGGCTGTTATGTTCTCTTTCATTTTTATTTATTTATTTATTTCGTGCTATTTTACCAGGGTAGCCCTATCAGTTGTCAATGAACTGTTCTCCCTGTGGGCCATGGATATCATCTTGTTTGGGTGGGACAGAGTCGGTATGTTTGATGGCGATATTTCCCCTGTTTATTTTTTAATTGAGATGTCCTCGACAGATTTGACAATACGGTGTGATGGAAGAAGGTGAAATCATAACCGACCATGCATTGTCTATTGCAGATTGCCAAAAAGAACTCTAAACATCAGAAGTTAGAAGAATATGGAAGCATATAGACAGACAAATATAAAAGGCCTCCTCTCATACGGTTGAGCAAAAACGGGACAGAACTGTAGACACTGAACCCGATGGACCGACGACTAGACTGACAATTGGTTTGGTGTATATAGTAGAAGACAAAGGTGATATAAGGCAATAGTATTGCGAGGAATAGAGAACACACGACCGACAGTGGCCTTCCACTTGCAGTTGAGTGAAACAATTTAGACAGACAGTCTAAACTGACGGACAGATGCACTCCACTATAATTAATGGCCATGTTAATTGGGAGAAGTGGGTACAGAATAGAAATATTTTGCGAAGAGGTCTTCCCACAGCAGTAAAGAGAAATGTGTGACACGTGTACAGCACACTGTGAACGCCAACATTTCAGAATAAATTTCCGTCGATGTGAGGATGGGGGACTTAAATAAAATCCGACGGCCCAATTATTGCCAAATTTGTCGAGATGGACAAGGGACAGACTTGTCGACGGAAACGAAGTGGACAATAAATCTAGTTAGTTTAGCAACGATGGCAACAAATAACAAATGACCGGACTCATCAATTATTTCGGATTATTCAGTCCCAAGTAAAATCTGCTACTGTTTGCACATGTTTACATTTTTGTTAAATCTCCTCTTAATGGTCTACAATATCACAATTAATTAGCTGCGGATTTCCCCCAGAAAGTTTACGAATACACACAACAGAATCTCGGCCTCGGCACAAAAGACTCCTCCAATTGTTGTCATCACGGTGAAAAGTCTTCGGACTTAGGCCCAATTATCACAGTTTTGGAAGCAAACCACGGACATCTTGTAGCATCTGTCCCGGTAAAATGATGCGCGGAGGCGCCACGGCAGAGCGGGGGTGGAGTTGGGGATCCAGGAAGCGTCTTGATGTTCCCGCTGCATCATCTTCATTATCATCATCAAACCTGATCCCGTATATACCGACTTCCTTCCTCCCTCTTCCCCCGTAGCCAACCCGGTGGTTTGACGAACCGGCCGCGCTTCGCTAATTAGTCACAATTATCTCCGGAACCTCGTGGTCGACCGGAGCTGGGATTTGCGAACGGAGACGGAGTCTCGGAAGAAAAAAAAAGAGGCGAGGATGAGAGAAGACAGGCAGCGTATGGTTTTTGCTTCCCATCCTCCAAGGATTGATTACTTTCATTGTCAAGCGGTGGAACCCGGACGCTTCGGGCTCGTTATAGCTACATCTTAAAATAATCCCCAGAGGTTTTTTTTTTCTTCTGACCGACCTCAACGGCTTTTCGGTTTGGTAATAGAAGAAATGTCAGTGTCTATTAGTGTTTCCTTTTTAGCATTCCCCAAAGATAAATCAAAACATCAAGACACACAAAAGAAATTCGATCATCTGATTCTTTATTACAAATATTTTATTGTTTCATTATTTATACAATTTTGATAATCATATTTTTTTATAAGTGATCTTTTAATCAATCGGCAGATATTAATGCTGAAAATAAAGGCCATAAAATTTAAAAAAAAAAAATCTAAAAAGTTCGAGTACTTGTACTAGTTTCAGAAAAATTGCTTCCTTCAGTTTTTATTGAAAATAGGCTGCAGGCCAGGATACCCATAATGTCACAGCAGTGAAACTATACAGTCAGAGCTCCAAAAATAAAACCCTCTTGCATGAACTGAGGACATTGCATTCGTTAGTGTTCTTCATTTATTAATACCAAAAGTAATTGGAAGGTGTTTTTATACAATTTCAGACCATCTGGAATAAAGAAAACCAGAATAAAAATGCCTATTTTTGGTTCTTGCACAGATATTCCGAGTCACATTCCAACAGCTTGCCTTGAATCCTTCATCTTTTCCGGCCTCTGTGCTTCAACCCCCCCCCCCCACAAAGTGAGGGGATGAAAACTCGGCAAAATTCAGCATCAGAAGTTTTTACATGTCTTGGTTGCTAGAATCAAGACCAGGCTTCAATCTGAAAGCGTCTTGACTGCTCCAAGTTTTTGACATAGTCTTCTGCCGCATCTGCAGTCATGTCCCCCTCATCCTGGATCACTTTTTGAGTGCATTCGTGACATCCGAGGGCATCCGCTTGGCATTTCTGCAAAAGCATAAAAACATGTCGGAGTAGTAACGATTAAGCTAATATATGTGTAATGCGCAACTTTGGATACTCAGCAAAATAATAAGCAAAGTTAGCTAAACCACCTATTAGCTGTATTAAAATTGTATTACATTGTATTTACTTCTCCATGAATCAATGAAACCATAGAGTGGAGGGATGGTTTGGGATGGTATAAGGAGCAAGAGATCAGTGGTTTGGGGTGGAAGACGGGACAAAGGGTGACGTTAAGAACACAACGTTACATGTTATCTCATCTATGCAAGAGATGGAATTGCGTGGGGTGATGTAAATCAATATTTAGGTTTTGCCCTTAATAATAATAATAATAGTGGATATTTATAAAGTACACTGGTGTTCAAGGCGCTACATCATTATTACCCCTGCTCATTGGGCGCATGAAACATTTCAAATACCATCTCAGCTCCCTGGGGAGTATACAGCTCGATGCAGCCTGTTAGGCGCAAGGAAGCTAATTCAATCACAATAACCATCTCTGCCCTCACAGGTACCCATTTACTCCTGGGTGGAGAGAAGCAATGAGTGACAAAGTGCCTTGCCCAAGGGCACACGTACCATGACCCCACCAGGACTCGAACCCACAACCTGCAGCTTTACCCACAGACCACGAATCAGTGCCCTTAACCACGAGGCCACAGCACTCCATGGATGAATAAACAATGTATACTCAGTGTGTTACCTCCCGAGTGAAAGTTATCTCATCTACTAAAGCACAATAAAATTGGGTAAAAATGACAGTCATCTTCCCTAAAAGGGCAGCAGGATCCTAGCAAATCAGACATTGCTTTCAAAAAACTGTAAAAGCTGTTAAGTCTGCTAAAAAAAATAAAAACAGCATTTTGTACGTCAAATTCTTACCCAGCAATAAAGAAGCATGCTTTCCTCCTGTCTATCATCTCCCACAAGAGGGCGCTGTTTTCAGCCATCAGATGCTGAACATAGATCTTATCCTCCTGTTGAAGAAATGAAAGAATGGTGGCATCGTCTCAGGTTTTCCTTAAAATCTTTCATTATTTTTTGTTGGGGGGGGGGGGAGGGGAAGAGGGCTGAAGTTATTGAAAGCATTTTTGGTTTCTGGAGGAAATTATTGAACAAAAGAGTTTTTGTGCATGATTTTCATTCTTAATTTGCATCTTCTTATCATTGGAGCTTACCTGATCCCTAGAAAAGGCAGTGAAAACTTGCAGCAGTTTGTTGGCCTCTAGAGGGCGCCATTCACGATTACAGAGGTAATCCTTCTCCTTGTTGCAACAGCCGAAAAACAGAACATTATCTGAGGACAAATAAACACAAATGTTAAAAATCTATTTTCCATCTGTGTACAAAACAGAATGTTGTTAATCTGCATGATTTGACAAATCTGGCAGTTCTAAAATCAGTTGTTAAACTGGCTTTTAATTTGGAAATCTTTTTGCAAAAGATAAGGATGGGATTAATTTTAAGGCTTTATATGTTCTCAAGAGTACTGGCACTGAAACATCCGATGAATTACTGAGGATGGAGGAATGGGGTAGTATACACCAATGATCATCCACTCTCTTTATTTGTGCTTGTACAATGTACTTAGAAGGATTGCGAGGATACTATGGAAGATGAAAGCGACTATCTGCGATTCCAAGTTTCTGTTATTATCAAATAAATTATTAACTTATCCAGGAAGGTTTAACATTCATGGTTAGAGAAGGCTCTCCAAGATACAACAGCAGGGAAAGAGTCCTTATGAGATAGGATATCATCAAAAAGTTGTCTTTTGAGATATAATTTCAGGTAAAAAACATCTTAACGCAATGATGATGATCTCGGAAACTACGGATGTCTTAAATATCTTAGAATTCCATATTTTTCATGATAGTTTATCACCGAAGCACGGATGGTCACTAAGCATAGTGGATAGCGATCCCAGGTCAAAACTGCTAAGTTGAAAATTAACCTCTAGGATTTCATTACGAACGTTCTGAATACATCTCAGTCACTCACCACCGAGACCCTGGGCGGCCCTGTCTTGTACAAAGCTCCTGAAGGGGGCTAGACCAGTTCCAGGACCCACCATGATGACTGGAGTGCTGACTCCGTCTTTGGGGAAGGAGATGGTGCCTTTCTTTACCCAAATCGGAATTTCAACATCTTCTGGCGGAAAAAAAAGAACAAAGATATGGATAACTTGAAAGGCCAACAACATGGGGCTATACAAACTTGTCTAATAGTGTTACACTACTGTGGCGGTTACAGGTTAATATCTTGCACGGTTCCTGCTTAAAAAATATCAATAAGCAATAATTTCAGTACTTATGCGTAGGCCCACTTCCCTTGGTATCTTTTGCAAGAAAACTTCTTGAATCTTCAAAAATCATAAACACACCATTTTGGTGTAATTTAACTTCAATCAAGCCCCAATCTACAGTAACAGTGCCTTCTTCAATCCTGCAATATCCTCCAAAACCATTTGTTGGATTTTGAGGGATCTAAGAGGTACAGGGTTTCAGAAGAACGAAGCAAGAAAAGTTTTACTTAGAACGTTTTTGGAAAGATTCTTCACAGAAGCTGTAAGGAACTCGTCCGCAAGGTCATACCTTTCTCCGGTGTCATTCTTGCCAGCCAGTTGGAGCACAGTCCTTCCCGTGCTTTGAGTAGTTTAGTCTTGTACTTGACCACAGCAAGCAAGACGTGTATCTCATTGGGGTAAGCCTGTTGCCAAGAACAAGTTTAATTGAGACGGCATATCACAAGGATAACAAATGAATAATATCAAGTAATCTAGGGGAATTTGGAACATTTGGTGAGATGAAAAACAGGATTTCTTCAGTGTTGGTTTGGAAAAAGTTTCTCTTGATTAGATATAGCAAGTGGCTTACAATGTCAATGACAGGGTATTTGTTCAATATAGCTGCTGTATCAGATTGGAACCAGCCATCCGACCCGGCAAGCTCGGTGGTCGAGTGGTAAGACGTTTGCACAAGTATTAAGCAGGAGGTCGTGGGTTCGAGTCCCACCCGAGTGATTTTTTCTCACAATCACTCGGGGGCAACACTGAACATACAGTGTTTATAAAAATACGTCGGTGAAGGGCAAAACCCAATATTGAATGGACATCGCCCCGACGCAAATTCCATTTTATGAATAGGGTATTTGTTGCTAAACTGGATAATGAAAAATGACAATACATGAAAAACCTTCCACTGGTTATTTAACAGATTTTTAACCAGTTACACAAAAAATAGTGATGGCTGAATGTATCACAGCACTTGGACAATCAATAGGGCCACACCTCCCCTTGCTTTGGGAGTATGGACATGCCACCCATTAGAGTGAGTTGCTTCATGAACCATGGTAGGCTTATACCCAGGGTGTAAAGAAATTAGCAAGCAGAGGTACCGTTGTTACCTTGAGAGATGAAGCAATGGAGAAAGCCCTGGGCTGAATCTGTGGGATGAGGTCCAACAGATAGGCAAATGGAACTCTGGAACTGACTTTGGGGAAGTCCTGTACAGTTTCCAATGTTGTGCGACGTGGACGATTGCAGTAGGAGAAGAGTTCTTGCTGTTTTGTTAGAGAAAAAGAGAAAGAATCATTGTCTGAATACAGAGATTGACAAATACAAACATAACTTGATCATGGATTTAGAATAAAGGATAAAATGAAACGTGGAAAGAAAACTACAAACACGAAAACATTCAAGCCTGATAGGACAGCGTTTTCATCTTTATATAAACAGCAGAGGGCAGTATTCACTTCCACCCTTGTCTAGCACAGCGAAAAATAGATGTAAAATATTGCTAAAAAATATCCTGCACGTTTCCAAAGCAAAGTATACCTGAACATTTTTCAAACGAATCAATATTTTTGGTGGGGTGTTTGCGTTGTTTACCTGCCCTTCAGCTGAGGCAAACTCCCTGAGCTTGTCCTTTTCCAGCTCATCTTCTGAGAAGTGGGCCAGCAACTCAAAGAAGTACCTCCTTGGGATGCAGCTGAGATCTAAGCAGTGAGTGACCAGCTGCCTGATGGTGCAGGGCTGAGGGAGGAGCCAGGAGGGTGGGAGGGGGATGTCTGAGAGGCAAATTAGAGAGTGGCAACGCATCTCAGACAATCACAACTCCTCACTAGTCAATCACAAGTCCTCATAAGTTAATCACAACTGCTCACAATTCAATCACAAGTCCTCACAAGTTCATCACAACTCCTAAAAACTCAATCACAAGTCCTCATAAGTCGATCACAAGTCCTCACAAGTCCCCACAAGTCAATCACAAGTCATCACAAGTCATAACAAGTCAATCACAAGTCATAACAAGTCAATCACAAGTCAATCACAAGTCATCACAAGACAATCACAAATCCATCACAAGTCAATCACAAGTCATCACAAGTCAATCACAAGTCATAACAAGTCAATCACAAGTCATCACAAATCCATCACAAGTCCATCACAAGTCATCACAAGTCATCACAAGTCATCACAAGTCATCACAAGTCATCACAAGTCAATCACAAGTCCTCACAAGTCAATTACAAGTCCTCACAAGTCAATCAGTAGTCCTCAAAGGTCAATTACATGTCCTCACAAGTCCTCAGAAGTCAATCACAACTCCTCACAAGTCAATCACAAGTCCTCACAAGCCATCACAATTCAATCACAAGTCCCCACAAGTCATCACAAGTCCTCACAAGTCAATCATAAGTCGCCACAAGTCCTCACAAGTCAATCAAAAAATCATCCCAGTGCTATAGTCAAGGTAGTTGTGACGGATCGCAAGTCAATCACAAGTTCATCAGAAGTGAGTCACAAGTCGTCTACAATTGAGTACTAAGTCACAAGCAATTCAAATGAAATGTAACAAAGGCATTCCTCTTTCATTTCTCATCCACTGTTTCCTGTGACCAGACTTGTGGCTTGTCTCGTGATTTACTAGCGACTGGACTTGTGAAAAACCCAGAAATTATGTGAATGGAATGGGTCTGTAAACTCACCTGGATCAGTCTGCTGAAGTAGGATCCTCCGATCAGGATTCAGATCGAAATGCAAGATAAATTCATTGACACTTTCTGTCGAGTTCTGGGGTTGGATCACGACCACATCCCCTGGAACATAACTGTGAAAAAATATATATCAATAAATAAAAGTAAAACAAATCAGTTTCTTGAAGTGAACATATTTATCATTGTGTCACTTCCTTCATATCGGCTTGTGAATATACATACAACTTCATAAAGTTACATAAAGGTTATACATTAAATAAACAGAACCTAATCATCAGCAAGAAATTGAACTTAAACTTAAGAAAAAAACCTGCCTTATATTTGATCCACGAATGTCTAATTTGACGAGTCTCACATCTTGGAAGTGATCTGAAGATGTCAGTCTTTCGTTGGATATAAGCCTTGCTTGGAAGGGGCAAATCTGAGATGGTATTTGGCTGTCAGCAAGGCCATTGATGCCGGCATTGGTAGATGCTACTGGAATGCTGTTGTCTGCATCTAGAAATTGCACGTCGTATCTCGATGGTGGGCTGTGTGGAAAAACAATGCGGAAAAAAATTGTTAGGAGTTCACTTGAACCTTTTAACAAGTCTCAGATTACTTTGACTGTTATAATCAGAAAGATTAATTCACTACGAGACTTGCTCCCATATGAAAATATATGATGGCTGTGATAAGCTGTGGCATTGAAACTTGAAATACCTGTAAGGGCCCATCTCAATTTATATCTGGGACGAGTTCCGGAAAAGTTGTAGACATTGTATCGGGTATAAGTTGTAGGATTATGAACAACTTCCCCGCAATCTTGTTATCTGTATTGGTGAGTCAAGCAGCTGTTAATGAAAATTTCCCGGGAACATGTCCGGGACAAATGCAGAGCTTCTTCCGGAAAAAGTGAATGGTTCTACCCACAACTTGTCCAGCACTCATCCCAGGTATTAATTTGATACAGGCCCTAACTGTGTAATCTGACGCTACAAAACAATGCAGTGACACAACAATATTCCACATGACCTTCCAAACAAGACAAATCAAATAACATGTGGTATTTTGTGGCATAGAATAGGGTATCAAGGGTTATACTCACCAGACATCAGCGCTTATTAGTTCCAAACCCGGTGGTAGTGGGTACAAGGATAACACTCTGTCCCACAATGAAACCAGCCAGGGATCAACCACTGCATCTGGCCTGGCAATAAAATAAAAAAAATCTAATCATTAACCCTAACTCCCTAGGGTGATTTACTAGGAACCTTCCTCATCCTTGCAAATCCCAACACCATATGGTAAACTGTGCACATAAACAGTTGGACTCTGTTTATTTGTGGTATGCCTAATTCCCACCCAAAGCACAGTCAGTTTACTAGTGCAGTACTCATCCTAACAGATTCCAACAAATCCTGGTGTTGGAGTTTGGCTGGTTGGGGATCGTTAGGGTTATTTTTTTTCATGTTTCCACGCTATTTTTTTTTGAGATCTCTTTGTTTTCAAAATCCATTCACCACTTAAACAGCACGTTCTTTATACCCCAAAGAATACTGAAAAAAATCTTTTCAAAACTCCTCAAGGCTTTTTGAAACATCCGTGACATTGGGAGCTACAAGTACAGGTGGCGAGCTACATTGTAAGTCAGCATTTTACTTGAACTTTTTTCCATTTTGATTAATCTATAAAATGGCACAACGTAAACAATGCTAAGAAACGTAAAAAAATTTTTTGTTGCTTAAAGATGGTCAGCCCACTGATCCCAGGCAATCAATGAAGCTCCTTACCCTAGATCATGTTGATCATCTGCCAGGCCAACAGGTACAAGACTGGTCCCGCCAAGCTGAAGAATACGCCTGTATAGCTTCTTGGCTATGAAATTAAATCTGGGTGAGAAATTGAGCAGGAACCATACAGATCAAAAAGAATGGTTTAAATGCAGTGTTACTTCACTTAGGAAAAATGCCTAGGTGGATTAACTGAAATGTGAATTATTCACATGTATCTAAATACCTAACAAGACAATGGCAAACTGTGTGAAGTATTAAGAAGAAAGAAATGGAAAAAAGTAAGCAACATCACAGCTTTGTTACTCTGTGGATACACATAAGAAGACAGACACTTTATATTTTCAATTTTTCATTGTCACTGAATGACAAAAACTGCCCTTTCATGAGGGCGCACAGAGCAAGGGCTCTTTTTCAAACACTAAGTGAAAAGTCCAGATTCAGCAGCCAAACTTACTTTTGGTAAGAGGAGTCCCCAAGACCAAGCACAGCAAATTGCAAACCAGACAGGGAGTCAGCCGGGAGGTTTCTGCGCAGAATAAACCTCCAAAATTTCTGCAAACATTAAAAAGTGAGCATTAAAGAGATTGTGCTTTTGCAAACTTTTTACAACAGACCAATATCCTTATGATACATATGCAGGCATATTTTTTTTATTTGTTATGGATAGTACAAGACTGGGACCTTGATTGCCGAAGAAAAAAAACATGCAAAACAAAATCAGGCCAACTTGACTCACTCTTTAGCCAGCATTTTAATTCTCCAACTTTTTCACTGGGCAAAGAAAAGGTCCTCAGTATTTCACCAACCAAGTTTGAAAACTCAACTCAATTTTTAAAGGAGGAGAGTTTTCGTCAATATTTTGCACATGAGAGGGAAGTCAAGTGATTTCAAAATGAGGCTAAAGACTAGACTGGTACATGTCCAGCCATGCTCCAACCGTTTGAAAAAGGCTGAACTCTTCATTCATTGTCATGAGTCTGGTGGCTGACTATGGAGAAATGTGTAGAAATAGAGACAAGTACCAGACATGCCCAGATTTTTCCTTTGGCACAGTTGATTGATGAAGTATTCAAGGGTTGTTGGACTGGTTGTTTCAGGTGCCAGTCTATTTTCTTGTATTGCATGTTTTCAATGCCTTTAAGTTTTGGGACTCTTAAACACAGTATTGAGAGTCCTTATTTTTTTTTGACTAGGACAGTACTAAGAAAAATTTTGAAACGTTCATGGTGAAACCCAGTGCCAGTATAAAAACATTGTATCTAATCTACTGAAACAAGGAAATACAACAAAAAGAGTCATCTTTGGGTTTGGAAGTTTTGATAATATCTGAGGTCTTCTAAATTCTAACCTTCATGTTATCTGGTTCATCTCCTTGCCCCGTCGTTGCACAAACAAATATGACCAACGGTTCATTTATCAGCTCACCCTGCAAAAAAGGAGCAATAACAAGTCAATTACTGTTAGAATTTGTTGATAGTGTATACACAGCAACTGAATGAGGCACAAACATGGTTGGAATGACACAAAAGCCATGATATCATATAATTTAGATTCAATGTATGAAAGATTAAAACTGAAAGGGGAATATGAAAAGTACGGAGATGAGAGATTCATTATAAATTCTTGAACTAAGGCTGAGTAAAAAAAATAGTTTCTTGTCTGGGCTTTTGAAAAAAAGGAAAAAGGCACCCCCTGTTTTTTTCCCCAAAAGATGGTGGATTTTCCAAATGGGGGATGGATTCTTCCCTTTTCTTGACTCTTTTGCCGATACAAAATTGAGTCTACTAAAGGAGCCATCACCTTTTCTACACAAAAGTAGCTACAATTTTTGTGAAAAATAAATATTCCAATTGTCAAGTTAGGAATATGAATTTGTTTTCTAGGCCTAAAACAAATTAAGCCTTACAAATGCTCATCTGCATCAATAACTAGATTATGATTGGCCTATCACTCAGCAAACCTTGCACAAGCCACATTCAAGGTACATCGCAGTGATCACCATCTTAAGACTTTTATCATGTTATATTTGCGTGTTGCATTTTTTTCTTTGTTGTCATTGTTTTATGGCAGTGTATATTTTGCCGGAGACGGCAAACCTTTAGTAAACGTTAGTTTGCCGGATATGCACTGAACATGCGCAGTTTACTGGGTTTTTTTTACTTAAACATTTTCCAGTGACAAGTTTTAGTCTGGCTCCATACCAAAATTATCGTTGTTATCTCGTATTCACAAGATGGGATTCAGACCATTTTATAATTTCGGACTTTATTTCCTTTTTAAAAAAAATCCTCCAGAGCCACAAATCTGAAAAAGAAAATGTAATACTCTGCAAAAAATGTTTGAGACATGTTAAAATAATAAAAGAAGAATATATATTCTTATTTATTTGGGGATGAGAAAAAAAAATTAAAAATGTGGTGCGGTCGGAATCGAACGCAAGTCATCCCGCTTACTAGAGCCTTTGCTTAACCACTACACCAAACGTGCTACACAACTTTTGGTTGGAATTTAATACATCTTATAATTCAGCCCTATTTTAAAGAGTACAGCGCCCTCTGTTGATATGGATTGCCGCCGGCAAACCTTTAGTAATCGTTAGTTTGCCGTCATTACCTCCGGCAAAATATCCACTATCTTGTTTTATCCCCAAATTTCTCTAAAAAATTCACAACCCTGCCTGCCTGCCGTTACCTATGACGTACCTGTACATACTTCTTAATGTCCCTAACTATTTTGGGTAAGACAAATAATGTAAAAGTGGATTTGTTCTATCCAAAATAAGCCCCAACGTACTGAACATAAATTTTTTACAAAATTTTTTTCACAAAATAGATGCAGTAACTTACTATAGAATACCCATCCAATGCAAGCACCCGGGTTTTAAAATGCCTCCTCTTGGCATCTCTCTCGACACGTTCGGCTACATCTTGGGCGGTGCCCGTCTGACTGCCGTACAATATGACGATTCGTCTGTCCTCCATTCCTCAAGAAAGTGGATTCCAACGCTTGCGATGCAAGCTTGAGCGCGCGCGCGCGACGAAAAATTGATTTGTTTTCCCCGAACCGGCGATAATCTGGTACCCAGTCGTGCTATGCCATGTATATACCCACATATAATTTGTCGCGGTACCTAGCTGACTATGCACATGTGTAGTCAGGGGAAATTTCATTGACCTTGTGTTACCAAGTACTATTGTGTGCGAGGTGCAGGTACCCGATTTTCGATCAGCTGTTACGTCACATGACCTTCCACCTAAGCCGGCCTGCCCTAGTTGACTTGATCACGGGATGTCTTTGCAGTTTTCAGCATGGAGCTCCACGGTTTGAGTTGAGCTAGTATGAGCATGGTTGGATGGATGCTCAAATAATTGGAAAACAACATAGTTAAAACGGCGACGTCGCGTTGTTAATTTTGTAGCCTCTTTTTATGTTTATAATGAGCAGATGATGAGCGTGAGTTTGCCAATAGCGCAAAGCCAGGGGGCCAATTTCCGGACAATAGCTTGATAATTGATGTCGAATGGCTTCATACATGTAAGACATATGACATGTAGGTCCGTAAGTCAAGATAGGTGTGGAATCTTCAAGAATAAACTGGGCGTGATTGTTGAAAGAGAGAAGCAAAATGATGAACATGAACGTAAGTATGCGAAATGTACTTCTACTTAAGTTCTACTAGTACTAGTATAGTCGGACTCCCTATTATCGCGGCATCCCTATTATCGCGGCATGGGAAATTTCTCTTTTTGCGTTGCCAAAACGTCTTCAAATGGCAATTTTTTTTCAGTTCACCAGTCATTAAGGACTTTTTGCCAAGTTGTACAAAAAAGGACGATTAAAAAATGTTGTGTCTTTCGGGACTTTTAACGATTTTTAATAAATAATAACGTTTTCCAAAACTTGCAAATTTTCCCTCACCGTGTCTACTAAAAGGTACCGTCTATATTTTAACATAAATCTTTAATGGTGCTCTGTCCATGAAAGTTCCATTGCCTGGTTCCCATTCTTCAGCTGCAAATGTAAAATGAAGTCGAAGGACGATATTTGCACCGCGAAATCGTAAGAACTTTTATGGGATCAAAATAAGCACAGCACGTTAACAAAAATAAAACGGCACACCGTGTAAAGTGAATGGCGCCCCCAATCGCCAAACAGTAGACTTGCCTCAGTGAGTTGTGTTCTCCTTTCGGGGGAAGGGCAGGGTCTTAGAAATCATCCTGCAGATATAATAGTCTTTAATCAACTTCAACTTACAGGGAAAATATCAGACTTTATTCAGGGGATGTTTTGGTCAAACATTAACTATAAATAAAAAAGTTGAGATCATTATAAAAACCACTTCCAGCATACCGCGATAATAGGGAGTCCACCTCCATTCGCACACTCCGAGCATGTCTATTTTCACAGGCATCGTACACGGAATAAACCACACCACCGTCAGATTTGTTTATATCAATTTGAAAAGGAAGAGTTATACAACCTAAAAGACAGGACAATTCGGGAAGGTTAGTGGGCAATCTCTATTCCGAACGAGAAACGTGATAAGTACCGCGATAATATGGCAACCCATCCTACTAGTAGTACTACAACTTACAAGTCTAAATAATGATAGCATTAGAGGTAATCCTTACTTTTAGGACACCTCTATTTTTTACAAGTTCTGTTCAAAACTGACTTTAGCAGATGTCTGTCCAGTACCAAAGTGACTTTTGCAGGCTAAAGCAGTCTTTTTTCTTCATGTAAACTCATGTTAGTTGTAATTTTGAAAGCATTTTCAAAGAAAATGTGACTTTCCTACCTTTTTCGCAGTCAGACATGCATGTTGTAGTTCTCACAACACAGTGAAGCCCTACTTAATGAAAGCCTGATGCTGATTGGCTGCTAAAAAAATAAATAAGATGTTTATTTTTTATCAGCCAATCAGCAACGAGCTTTCATTGCATCAATGCAGTGGTATGTATTAAAAAAAAATGGCAACAAAATGTGCGCCAGTGTTTGGACTAAACTCCTTCAGAAGCACACTCTCCAATATCAATTTCCATTAGATCATACTCAGTCATAGCACGCAAGGAAACAGGAGATTTGTCCAATAGTAAAACCAGGGCAAGTCCATTGCTTGATTTTCCAATTCTTGCTTTTCTTGTTATTTCAGAAGACGTTTCATTTCTCGGACATGATTATGGACTTCCTGTTTCAAGGATGTAACATAGACTCATGGCCAGGTAGGACGTTCTCTCCCCACTCTCATTGCTCTATGTACATAGTCATGGGCGTCACCAGGAGTTTTTCTAGAGGGGGCAAATTTTTTTTGCCAAAAAATGCCTGTATTTCTCAACACATTCTCGATTTATCAGTTTAAGAGGGGCAGGGACATTTTGCCCCCCCCCCCAACCCATTAAATTTACACCACTATGTCTTTGCGCCTCTTTTTTTTTTTTTTTTTTTTTTTGGTTGCTTTTCCAGGGGGGGGGGGGGGGGAGGTGCCCCCTTGCCCCCCCCCCCCTCCCGACGCCCATGTACATAGTGAGCTCAATATAACCCTTTTAAAAGTTGGTGTGATTTGAAATGTTTTGCCAGGATCCTGGCTTAACGCAAACAACAGTTGCAACATTAAAGGATGTACGCATAAAGGCCAGTTCATACTTCATGCGAATGCGATGCGAATTTGACGTCACAAAGCATTCGCTGCGAAATTCGCCAGAGTTCAAATGTGTTCAACTTTTGCGAATTCACTATGCGAAAGCTTGCCCTGACGTAACAAATTCGCATTCGCGTTCACTCTGAGCATGAACCAGCCTTTACGGTGTATGCTTCTGAAAATTTAGCCCAGAGCTCTTTGTAGTTGGGTTTTAGTCTCTACTCATTTGAATGGTTAGGTGATGATTAATTTTACGGTCACCTCTCCAATAGCAGTAAGCCCAGTTCAAGCTGCTCAAGATATGTGATGATTTGATATTTGACGTTTAGTTCATCAATTTGTCCTGTAGATATGATAGCAGCCGTTGGGGCAGTCTTCCTCGTTGCGGTTTTTTTGGAACTCATGAAACTGCTCAACTCCAAGCTGAAGCAGAAGAGGTGCAAGAGCCCCCTGGAGGGTATGCAGGAGCCGGTGACTAAGCGGCAAAGCTCCATCAACGGACAGTCCGGCACGCAGCAGTCACCACTGCTTGCATCGCTGAGAATCCCGAGCAGTGTCTCCAAAATTAGACAAAGAAGGTACAGTATGTGTACTGGGTATAGCTAGAGTGATGAATGTGACGGTGAAATTCCCTCACCTTAACCCTAACCCTCCAGGGTATATTGGCTTGAAACCCTGCCAAACGCAGCAACATGCAACACTTGTCAAAATGACAAGCCTGCCCAGTGTATCAGATCCATCAGGCCAAAAGTCTCAAGGCCAAACTGCCTCAGAGTCTGTGGTCACCAAATGCAGCAGGATACAACTCTGGCATTGTTCTATGGGACTAGCTCTCAGTGTCTCAGAAGTGGCCGGTTTATGCACTGGTGTTGGTAGCATTTTCAATCAAAGTGCACCAGACTTTTCCACCTGATGCACTGTGATACGTCTGGCAGGGTTAGGGTTAACCCGTCAGTTCCTGTTCCACCACAAACCGTCCCTGCACTGCCACAAACCACCTAGTCTGCTCTAGTCATCGTGAGGAGTCTCCTCACGATGACTTGAGCAGGGGGCTAGTCGAACCGTTGAGACCAAACTTATCTCACTCGGCCTCAGTGAAGATAATTGCGAGAAGTCCCACCGCCTTCCAACCTACTTAATAGGGAAAGTAGATAATAAGCAGGACGGGTTCTTTTGAGCTAAGCAGGGAAGTTCTTATCAGAACTAATCTACTGAGTGACAGTAGTTATTACCACATGGTGTTACCACAAACCAAAGCCACATGACATTTGATGTCATATGTGCACATTTTGAAGGCCTATATCTACAGAACTACAGGTCCGATTGGGTTGAAACTTCGTTTTTACAATGTACCTAGACTAGGTGTTTTATAAGAAAATTCAAATTACGTCATGATGACGTCATCACATGTCATGTGACGTCACAATAAAGGTGCATTTTTTCTAAGGCCTATCATCAACAGAACTACAGGTCCAATTGGTGATAACTTGGTATATACAACATTCAGATCTGCAAACTATCAGTCTATAACATGACTCGAACATGCATTAACAAAATGCTGACACAGCCATATGTTTGTCCACAAACATAAGTCTAGTTCATTTTTGTTTTGTTGCAGATTAAAGTTTCACATGGTAGAGTCAATCCTCCATATCTTCCAAGTTTCCATCGGGTACATATTGATGTTAGTAGTGATGACCTACAATGCGTACCTCCTCATAACCGTCGTCCTGGCACTGACTGCCGGTTACTTCTTCCTGGCACCATTGCGGAGAATGAGGGAGCCGCGCCGGGTACCAGTGCGCCACGAATCGCTGACAGACTCGGAACAGAGGGCATTTAGTGGCAGCACCAGTAGCACCGCAATCATCGAATCGGCCGAGAATGTACAGAACCCACACTATGGCAGTCTGTATGAGTGAACTGGGGGCAGCTGGTCAAATATAACAATTGGAATTCATGTGTGCACAAAATTATAAATTTACTGCTGCATGCACTGATTTTGAACGGTGCTTAAATCACTGTCGTTACTGACAGAAGAGAATTTCTTCCAAGTACAGCACTTTGGTGATGCAGTGGCCAGTCATGATGGAAAATTGTGAGAATTGCAATACCCTGTCCACAAAAATGTAGAGCCAACTTTGATGATTTTCTTTTTAATTATTAAGAGTTACAATATAATGTACGCTAAACATGTAGTTGTATACTGCATATTCAAAGTTTTTTTTTGGGGGGGGGGATGTTAAAATTCTGTTATATGCGTTTTTGTTTCCCTTGATCCACCAACTATTATACAAGTAGATTGCTCATTCTTTGAAAATGTGCTTCCAGAAGTCACTTTCATTGACATGCCTGTTTTCTTGGTCAACTTCAGGAGAATGTTTCCAAACTGAAAAAGAAACTTCACTTTTTTTGTTTGCTGTTTGAAACATGACTTATTTTGTATACATAGATGTGCACTCATCTTAGTGCCCATAGCTAGTCCTGAATCTTTCGATTTTAATACATTTTGCATGATAATCACTTGGTTCCGCGTGAATGTTGCTAAACAATTATTTCTCCCACAATTAAAAATACAAACTAGCACAACCCTGTAATCAAATCCAATTATTTACGAACACTTTATCTTTCTGTAAATGAAGATTTTCTTTTCTCGGGGATTACGTTTTCTCCCTATGCAAGTACATTTTGTACACATGTATGCATTCTCATTAGGGCCGTGCATCGGAACCAAGTACCCGACCGTTAGTGTCAGGAACCGTTGATATCAGATACAGTGTACACACTTGTATCTCACTGTATTGATGCATTGATGTACATGTAGTCGTATTATCGTTTGAACTTTATGAACAATCTGAACAACAAGTTCCCAGATTTGAATTTTGGAGGTGGGTTTCTTTAATTCGGGCGATTCACAATGCAGTGCGCCACCAAGAGTTTGCCACCGAGAGTCAATTTTTCAAGTTTACGGTCGACAAAACATGGACCATTTGAATTAGTATCAGTAGACAACTTGAGTTAATGTGTCATAGATTGGGGCATAGCGTTCTGCCGCCTTACAAAAAAAACACCATATTGATAACAAGAAAAGAAATGGGCAAACAGATCCTCGAATCATACGCTTACGAAACCACTGACCGAAAATGCTAACAATTTCAATGTCCCGCTGCGAATTTGTCAACCATCTCCCACAATGCACTGGGAAAAATAAACTTTCCGTGGCAAACTCTTGGTGATGCACTGCATTGTGAATCACTCGAATTAACAGGTACCTGGGTACCCATTTTTTTTTCATCGGGTACACGGTTCCTGCACTAACCGTAATGCACACCCCTAATGCTGTTTTTTTTGTATTGCCTGTGGGGTTTGTATTTAGTGCAGTAACATAATGTAAGAAGCAGAAGTTCTTATTTTTTTTTTTACGTATTATACAGTGGACTACCGTAGCGGACTGAAAGGAAACACAATTTTTTAATCGCATTTAATTTTAATATTTTGCAATGAATATTGTGCTAAAGTACAGTACTAATAATAACAATGTGTATTTATAAAGCGCATGTATCCACCGTTATTGGTAATCAAGGCGCTATATCATTATTACCCTGCTCATTGATCCAATGAATCATTCCTAAGACAATCTCAGCTCCCTGGGGAGTATACAGCTGGATGCTGACATTTCGGTACAAAGCAGCTAAAATCAATCACAATCACCATCTCCGCCCTCACAGGTACCCATTTACTCCTGGGTGGGAGGGGCAATGAGTGACAAAGTGCCTTGCCCAAGGGCACACGCACCATAGCCACAGGCTGGACTCGAACCCACAACCTGCAGAATTATCCGCTGACCACGAATTCAATGCTCCAAACCATGAGTCCATGCACTCCATATGTACACTACTCGCTATAATGGGGGTATTTGGTTAATGATTTGGAGTACATTACTGTAAAATTGTAAGCAGCATAACTACAGTATGCTCTTCGCGGGTTGACTTTGGTTTGAGTCATGTTGTCAGTACAGAAAAGAAGTTAAAAAATGGAAGACATTTTAAAAATTGTTGATGAGGTACTGCTAAAAAATCTTAACTGCCTTCAATTAGAAGCAGCTGACTAAATTTGAAGCACAAAAAAAAATTGGAAGAGTTTTGTCTTTTCAGTGGTGTATATTTATGTTTAGTGTCGGTCAGCATATTCTGTGTTTGATACAATTTTCCTAATAGGGCCTATTTCATTCACAGGGAAAACTAAAAGGTAGTTGGATTTGAGGCTGTCTTATGCTGTTTTATGTCGAAAAGATGAAAGAATACCCAATTTTTTTCAAGGACAAAAGAACATTGCTTTTGCAAATTGTGTTTGCGTTTAATATTAATTAAATGAAGACGCCCACTTTTTTTGAAAGAACAAGTGGGAGTGAAAAGAACAAATGGGAGGGAAGCATTTACTTTGAATTCAAAGATTGTGTTATGAAATTTCAATTTGCTATTTGAATAACTGAATTTTCAAAAACAATAAGGCATTATAACTTTTGTATGTTCTGCTTTTTTTTGGACATTCAGTGAATGATTAGCTGAAATGAATTTATGTCCGCTTGTGGGAAAGATGAACTTGTATATTAATGAAATGCTCAAAAGTGAACAATCCTATAAAATAAGTCTGAAATTTATGTGAAATTTATTATCGGTCCAGTGATATTTGTTCTTGAATTATATTAATCGTTCTCTCATATACAGCATGATTTAATTCTTTAATAAGAATTACTTATCAATTTATTTTTGTTACATAAATAATGTTTAATTAATGGACTTATTTGGTTTATATTAATGCAGTTGCAAGTGAAATGTAATAAGACTTCAGTTGATTTGATGTAAAATTTAATTATGCTCTCCACGTCTGATTTAATTTTTATTAAATATTTTGTACGTTTTGACTTAATTACAGTTGAACAAAATAAATGAATTACCATTAAATGTAACTAACCGTTTGTTGATGTCGATTAAAGTTTACTCTTTGCTTAGTTTTGTTTTGTAACAGATACATGTATATTTTCGCTCAAATTTACAACATCAAAGGCCTACAGGACCATGGGCAATTTCATTGTGTTGCAACTCGCGTTTCTATACGTTTTAAAAACAAACTCACAATGACACTGGCATTTCGCTAATGTGTGAAAACAAGATGCCAAAATGACCACCTGAAATCCACAATTTTAGCCAATAATACATTTGACTATATTCCGTCTGACTGGCACACTGGCGCAACACTCAAATGAAAGGTTTTTGTCCCCTTTTTAATTTGATAACAATTGAGGTGATCTTTTTGGACATTTCCACTTGTAGTGTGTGCAAATGCCTATGTGAAAAAAACACCATAGCTAGCAGGGCAGATTCCGACCATACGCCGCTGCGGCTTTTGATGAATAATATGCCTGGCCAGATACAATGGTCTCAAAAAGGCTTTAAAAGTGTACGGCTTGGTGCCTTCATGAATGCATTACAACTTTACAAGTGCCTTGACAACAAAATGTATACATTTTTTCTGTCAGAAATTTTAGATTAATCAATCCTACCTTTCTTTGCTTGCGTGATCTGAACTTCCTCCGGCTGCTATCGGTAGATTTCAAATTCAAAATTTAGCGCGGGAAAATTCAAAAGGGACTCGTCTGCTCGCCTCCATGCAGTGCGGCGGCGTCGCAGTTTGTTTCACTCGCAATAGTGTTGCTTCATGTCCAAAATACAAGATTCTGCATTGATCACACTGTCCAGGGTAACTACCATTATCAATGGAGCAGAATTATTATACTGAGAATTGCAGATACGTTCTAAATATCGTTTTCCTCCTGCACGTTCTCCGGCGCCATGACGACCTCGTGGCACCAGAAACTGTGAAGACGTACTAAACATTGTCAGTCACTTGGGGGCGCTGTGCTTGCGGCGCTAGCCGTCCACGTTTCTGTTTTCGGTAATTACATGTATTTGTAGTGGACTCAGACAGCAGTCATTTGGTTTCGGTTTCATTAAATAAACAGGCCTAAATCTGTTTTTTCTTTCTTTCATAAACAGTTTTACTGGGGGCACGCAAGGGGCACACGCCTAGAGGGACCAGGACAGGGATGATGGGGGGGGGGGGGGGGTTGTCCCCTCCAGACTCGGTTTCACTCAAACTCATACACTGTTTGAAAGGCTTCGAAATAGAATCTTATAATCAAGGGACTTGATTTCAACATGATCTGGCCTATGGGCCTTACTCACGAGTCGGCCATATTGGATTGATAGTGAGGTAACATCTTCATTTTTGGAACTTTTGTACAGAAATGAAAACAATGACGTTACAATTTTAAACAAGTCTGCTTTGATGAATAATTCGTGATTAAACATATCTAATGTTTTAAGCCACATGTTAAAAAAAATGAAAGTGAGGCTATGGTGCTTAAAATAGTTTGGCACCATCCCATTCAACAGTTCACAATTGATCACATTTTTCAGGGAACACGACAAAAATGGCCAACTTGTGCATAAGGCCCATATTTAAAGTCGGGGTAATGGTTTGACACTTTAATTACAGAAGGGTCCTCTACTTGAATGCTAGTCTCTGAGAACAGCCGCATTTGAATAACATATATCAGCAGTATAGCGTAAAAAAATGACAAAAATTGTCACAAGTAAAAGTACGTGATTACCATTTGTTTTATTCGTGGAAATAAAAAAAACTTTGCAGTAAGAATACACAAACTAGACTATTTAAATATCTTCAATTAATACAGTCCGAGGTTCTGTGTAAGTTATATGCATTGAATTGCTTTGACTGTCATGTAACTGAATTTAAATGGCAAAACATGTCTTCACAAATATCAACAAAATAACACCTACAAAACGACAAGATACATTAATAATGTATAACTGTCGAGCATATCACGTGACCCGTATTCCCTAGTCTTGTTTCGTCTTAATTTGCCGTCCTATTACAGTATTTATACCGAGGTTATTCCTTCACGATTTATTACAAAGACATCTATATGTGGTAACGTGCGTTGAAACCTATTACGTGCAGATTGTATCTACTTCAAATTAACAGTTAGTGATCTTTACTTAATCAGTATTGTGCACGGTTATTTTTTATAAACAAGAACAGACAAACATGATAAAACCCGTAAACCCGTGTCATCTCGTGCACATCATATAGTTTTTTTTATTTTTTTTAAATGTGAAGGCAACATAACTGAGCAAGACGTTTAGGCCCGTACTGTTGTCTCTGAGTGGGTATTACAATTCAACTTTTTTACAGGCTATGCATTATCCAGGAATGTTAAAAAATTAAAAAAATGTTTTCCTTTACTTAGGATTGGTTGCTAAATATCTAGCTATTAAACGAAAATGCACCGAAAATAACGAAATCTTAAAAAAAAGATCGACACTTTCTTCGACGACGCGATAATTATAGTGGCCCAAACAGTTTGCATGAATGGAGTTCGGTTTCAGGGCTAAAAAACTAAAGCTGCGTATTGCTGTATACACGAAATCACTTACCAACTTTACTTTCGTAATTAAAAGTTTGATACGTTTTGAATCAACTCTTTTAAGCTTCACATGTGTCTTGTGTATGCTGTACTACGTCTGGTTCTTTTCTAAATATACTTGTGCACGGTATCGGTAAGAAAGTGAATTCCTGTGCTCAGAAAGCGTCTCTTAATCCTGACTTTTCTCAGTGAAAAACTGAGTGAAAATTCAGAACATTCAAGTCCAAAAAGTTAGATAACATAAAATCTGCCTATACATATTAGGTGATATAGCACCTGGCGCCATGCGACGACGTAATACTCTATGCGTATTTGCCTGTACGTTCAGCCTCGGTGTCGTGTAAACTCAGCCTCGGTGTCGTGTAGGCCCATAGTAGTCCTAAACTCAGCCTCGATTTGGATCTCCTGCCTCGACAGCGGGTCAGTATCCGTTGAATTTAAGCCTCATTTTTAAGCTCAGGGTACCAGTTCTGCGGATGCCAGCTTCTGCAGTTGTTTCATGAGCGCTTCCAAATGGGCATTCTTCTGCAATAAAGAATTGAAAGGTTACAAATTAATGTAGAATACGATTGTAATGCCGAATTCGCGAGTACCCGCGTCTTTCACGCAGGCGCAGTTCTAGAGCCAATATTAGGGGGGGGGGGGGGGCTAGCAGGATGGATCCAGAATTTTTTATCAGGGAGGCGTGCTAAAATGTAGACCGGTTATTTTCTCCGGACAGGCCTCTGAAAATCAATAAGGGGGGGGGGGCTCGTGCCATATTTTCAATGGGGAGCGCTGATGAAATCCTACAATTCGGCACACTATATTAATAAAAGTGTACAAATGCACCCTTCGCACGACTATTCATTTAGGGGGACTGTTCGCATGTACGTCACATTCTTATATTTTGCTAGTGCAATTTCTTTATGGATTTTTTTTTGGGGGGGGGGGGCTAGACAATTATTATTCGCTGCCCAAACGCTTTGTGCAAAATTTTACTTCAGAACACGACGATATCTTTAATTTTGCTGGTACCCCGAAAGAAATATTGTCAAATCGTGATGTGCACATGCGCAGTTGGAATACCGAACTCGCATTAAAGAAGAATTGAAGGTGAGGTTATTTTTTACCTCTTCTAGTAGCTGTTTTAATCTGCTGATGTTCGCCTGCTTGTCCTGGCTGATAGTAAAGTTACTGGACGGCATAAATGTGTTGATTCGTGCTCCCTCCGTGGTTTTTAAAGAGATAAACTAAACACAACCAAAAGGAACAAAACCTGTCATTGTGAAAGTTGTTTTTTTACCCTATTTTTTCCCTATAAGTCGGGGACTTGTATTAAAATAATTAAAGTCCAAGTGAATTTTAGAAGTCATTAAACCTGTAAGAATGAGATCAAAATGTAAGGTCTGGACGGTGTTCGCTAAAGGATTGGTGGAATGAAGCACTTTAACAAAGAGGAAGAACATAAGCTCACTTTCCTTCTAAAACCACAGTACTATGTTTTGGCCACATCCTTTCTGTGTAAACCAAACAAACAGTTGAAAATGCACTACAGTTGCGTGTATGTGGTACGGAAGCTTATGTGGGGAGGGCAAATTGGTAATTTTTTTCTGAAACGTGTTTCTCAATATTTTCTTTCATGAAACTTGGGGGGTATTTCCCGGGGTATTTCGGCTGTGCGGTACCGTACTGGTGCTTTCAAGAAGGGGAAAAACAGGCAAATTCTGAGAGGGGGTTCCCTCCCCTCCCCTCTCCCCCTTCCCCCCCCCCCCCCCCCCCCTTTGCTGGAAACGCAAATGAAGAGTCAAGTAACAAATCGCACAGACCTTGGGAATGAAAACGAGGCACAGCATGACCGTGTTGGCGACGAAGAGGGCGCCACTGACGAAGGCAAAGACGAAGTTGATCTCGCCTCGGGCGTGGCTGAAATAGGCCACGGGGACGGTCAGGACGCAGGTTAGCCCCACGGCGTAGACTGACAGAGCAATGTGCTTGCCTTGGGAAAGATAGAGGGACAACTGGTTAGAAAGGTTTAAGGCTGAAGCTGCGTTAGTGGTACTGGTTTGAAAGGTTTATGACAGCAGCTGAATGTGCAAATAACTGGATAAAAGGTTTATGGCGGAAAGACCGTCTAAACTGGTTTAAAAGGTTAACGGATGAAACTGAGATTGGTTTAACTGGCTAGAAAGGTTTAAGGCTGAAGCTGCAATACTGTTAAACTGGTTTTAAAGGTTTATGATCGCGGTTGAACGAGGGATCAACTGGATTTAAGGCTTATGGCAGAAAGACAGTCTAAACTGGATTTGAAAGGTTAACGTTTGAAGCTGAGATGCGGTTCAACTGGCTATAAAAGGTTTGAGGCTGAAGTTGTGATACCGTTAAACTGGTTTGAAAGGTTTATGATCGAAGGATTGACTGGATAAAAGGTTTATGGCAGAATAAGAAATTTCGAAAGACAGTCTAAACTGGTTTGAAAGAGTAATTAACCGTTGAAGCTGGGATAAACTGGTTAGAAGGTTGAGGGCTAAAAATGAAAGAGGGTTCTTCAGGCTTGTGAGCTCAGTACCTGGGATTTTTTAGGGGGGGGTAATCCTTGGTAACATAAATGAATAAACAATAATAACAATAATTGGTCACGTGGCTCACTGTCGTTCAGCTGGCTGATGCGGACGTTGCGGGTGGACCAAGCCAGGAAGATTCCGAAGATCAAGAGGGCGCCCTTGTAGGCGAAGATGGCGATGGCGAAGTACAGCTCCCGGTCCGAGGTGCAGTAGGACAGCGTGGGAACCTCGTACTCTTCGGTTTGCTCGTCTCGCAGCTGTGGATACCAAAAAAACTCGTGTTTATGAAACTTTGGTTTCGTCATCAGCTTACGTACGCCCCTGATTCAGGGGACTACGGCTTAGGGTTTGTACTCTGTTTCAAAAACATCAATTCAATACTACAAGACTATAGGCATGATAGGTTAAGAGCCATTTGGCTCATGACTGTAATTAAGGCTGTTGTTTCACTTGTCCTTATTCTATAGGTGTTACATGCCAATAAACCACAACTGAAATAAGGGTAATGAAGATTCGTTGTTCTATCCCAGGAAGATTTAGTGGAATAATAGCGGATACTTGGGATGACTTGGGCTTTAAGAAAAAAAGAGGGCTATTAAGGGAAACTATAAAGCGCTGGTATCTAGAATCAGGGCAAGTGAATATTACAAAAATTCTCAATTGAAAGTTTGCTACAACTTTATCTTCAATAATTGTATATAAAACAATTTTATAATAATTAAAACAAAATGAACACTCATTAAGCTGCTCTTTTCAATTAAAACCTCGAGAAGATTTGTTGTTGTTATTTTTACCACAGGGTCCAATTCGACCGTCTGAATGTGAATGGGGTCCACCAGTATCCAGGCAACGAAGATCAGGACGTCCAATAGGACGAAGAATCCGATTGACGTCATCAGTTTGGAGTCGGTGATGGTGGCTCTCTGTATACATGCAAAATGAATAGACCGATCAATCCGGTTCGTTAGTTTGACGTCACTTCAGGTTAAACCACGTTATAATGAATAATTTTATGAGTGAACAAAAAACAACAAACGGACAAGAGCGGGAGTTGAACCTGCGACCACTTGTCGGTTGAGCGCCGTATATGGTTCGAGAGGGCATTTCGATTCCTTTTTTTTGGGTCAATGTATAGTGCACTCTATACACCAGTATATGATTTGGTATAGGAATAGATGTTAGCCTGACGATGAAATTATCTTGATATGGTTTTAAAAATCGAAGAACTACGGAAAGGAGTGAAAGAAATTAAAACAACTTAGTGTTGCATTTCCCTTCCATGAACGAACAAAGATGCGAATGACGATTGCAGGACTCTAGTAACTTCCGGGGGAACGCCCGATAACTTACCACTTTGCGAACTTTCATGGCACTGGTGTAAATGTGGTGAATTCGGTAAGTCTTCATGAAAAGGGCGCCAAAGGCTAGCGACAGGCCGATGCACAGCGCAGCTGACGATAACTGCGGAGTCAAAAAAAAAATACCTCGTGCTCACAGAACAGCAGGTTGTAGGGTCCTTGTCCTATGGTTGAACAGCCCAGGCCAGCCGCCCAGGCATGCACTGCTCATAATCACATGCACGGCAGGCACGTAACTTGGTTTCCGGTGTAAACTTCTTGATCTGATTTCCAGAGGTTTTGACTAGAGCGTCATGGTGGATCCGTAGGGGGAGGGGAAACCAACACCCAACACCCGGTTAGCCGCTGGCTAATGTTAGCAGACAGATATAGACTAGTAAAATGGGCCAAAAAATAGTAAATGAAAAGCGCAAGTACCTTAATTTATGCTCAAATTGCCTTCTAAAGCAGACAGATATTTTGAGGGGCATGCCCTGGACCCCTTCGTATCGACCCCGTTGCCTGAAAGCTATAGCCTTTCTTTCAGCGTGTAGTATAATAGTTAATACACAAATATTGAAAGGCGAGGTTCAGGACGCTTCTCATGTTCCTATATGAGGGATTCATACAATTCGATGACATTCCGAAATGCAACCGCAAGGTGTTGAACTTTACAAGACAGTCTCATAAAAAGCAAAACTCACATTGGGTTTGTGTTCACATGCAGCCCCGGCCTCTCTAAAAAAAGTTTCGATTGCGATAAAAAAATAATAAAACCCGAGGCTGTGTCACAATATTCAATGAGAGTAGGCAACCACTCGCCACACAAGTGACAGTCATGACAGTCAGTTACAAAGATGACACTATAGGCTGTCCCCCTGAAAACAGCAAATAGTGAACCCACTTCTTCGCAAAGACAGCTCTAGACAAAAACACAAATCTTACCCCCAAAACCCAAGATAGATTATCCTAGTAAAGCTGGTCGGACAGACCACTTTGGTCTGTGAGTATTGAGCCAAGTCAGGCTTATGCAAGTCTAACTCACAATTGGTAGTGAGTGCGAGTCAGTCAGTTAGTGAGATATATAGGTACAACGACGTTGTGTGCCTGGTAGAAGGGCACAATGCGCGTACGCCCTTATGCAATAACGCGTTATCACCAAAATGTTCCCAGTAAAAGGGCATAATGCAGAAAACTGCCTTTATTTTAATGAAATTTAAATATTTTCGTCAGAAATTAACACAAATTGTTCCAAAAACTGTGATTCATACTTGTGACATATTGAAAAGTTGTGCGATTTATATAACGCGTGTGAGAGCATTGGATTTATAATACGCGGGAGGGAAGTTTCAGTTTTAAAATGATTTTGCGTCAGAATGCTCATACGCCCTTCTGCCGGGCACCCGACGAAGAGCGCTGTGGGCTGCGATCAGCCAAAACAAAAAAGAGGGACCTTTTGATTCCAACAACACAACAGCAACATTTCACATACCGGTACTTCGTGGTTTGCATTTTCTAATATTCTGATTTTTTTTCCTAGTCCGAAATAGTCTGGTTTTACCTATCTCACTGAGTGTCACTCGTGCTAAGACTGGTTTACCTATCTCACTGAGTATCACTCGTGCTAAGACTGGTTTACCTATCTCACTGAGTATCACTCGTGCTAAGACTGGTTTACCTAGGCTCACTGAGTGTCACTCGTGCCAAGACTGGTTTACATATCTCACTGAGTGTCACTCGTGCTAAGACTGGTTTACCTAGGCTCACTGAGTGTCACTCGTGCTAAGACTGGTTTACCTATCTCACTGAGTGTCACTCGTGCTAAGACTGGTTTACCTATATCACTGAGTGTCACTCGTGCTAAGACTGGTTTACCTATCTCACCGAGTGTCACTCGTGCTAAGACTGGTTTAACTATATCACTGAGTGTCACTCGTGCTTAGACTGGTTTACCTATCTCACTGAGTGTCAGTCGTGCTATGACTGGTTTACCTATCTCACTGAGTGTCACTCGTGCTCGGACTGGTTTACCTATGTCACTGAGTGTCACTCGTGCTTAGACTGGTTTACCTATCTCACTGAGTGTCAGTCGTGCTATGACTGGTTTACCTATCTCACCGAGTGTCACTCGTGCTAAGACTGGTTTACATATCTCACTGAGTGTCACTCGTGCTAAGACTGGTTTACCTAGGCTCACTGAGTATCACTCGTGCTAAGACTGGTTTACCTAGGCTCACCGAGTGTCACTCGTGCTAAGACTGGTTTACCTATCTCACTGAGTATCACTCGTGCTAAGACTGGTTTACCTATCTCACCGAGTGTCACTCGTGCTAAGACTGGTTTACATATCTCACTGAGTGTCACTCGTGCTAAGACTGGTTTACATATCTCACTGAGTATCACTCGTGCTAAGACTGGTTTACCTAGGCTCACCGAGTGTCACTCGTGCTAAGACTGGTTTACCTATCTCACTGAGTATCACTCGTGCTAAGACTGGTTTACATATCTCACTGAGTGTCACTCGTGCTAAGACTGGTTTACCTAGGCTCACCGAGTGTCACTCGTGCTAAGACTGGTTTACCTATCTCACTGAGTATCACTCGTGCTAAGACTGGTTTACCTATGTCAAGGAGTGTCACTCGTGCTTAGACTGATTTACCTATCCCACTTATTGACTGACAGTCACTTGACCTAGACAAGAGGCTTGACTATAGTTTTGTTTCAAAGTGCTTAGTTTGGCAAAAAACTGATTACCTCATTACCTCACCTAGTTTTGAGTATCACCCGTTATCCACGGAGCCAAGTCCTGTATAACGTCTGATATGTCTAGACATGCAGATATATGCAAGCCGCGCGCCAGCCAATCGGAGTCCACTTTACTAAATCGTGATGTCATTTCATTCCTAAATCAGGACTTAATGGTATGATTGGTCAATTCCAATGCAGTGTTTTGTAATACAACAACAGCCGGCCGCGATATCGCGTAACATGATACAGAGCGAGTGACACATTGTTTTGAATCCATGTCTATGACGCGCGACTTGTAACAAGTGAATAACCGAAGTCCCGATAAAATAAGCGCCCGCTGATTGGTCAAAATCTAGGAGGTCAAGAGGCGGGGTCTTGCCTAATTAATCAGCGAATCTGTTCACGCATAATAGACCATAGACTATACCTCACCTTTCGGCTGGTATAAGCCGTAGGAACTATTAAGGAATCTTTACGCACGGGAAGAGTCGAAGTTCGGAGAAATTTCGGCTCTTTTCGCAGTATCCTAACAAAAAAGTGATTTTTTTTTTCTAACAAAGCTGAGGCCATGCGGTGGAACTTGGTTCCGGGCGCACCAGCTGTTACCGTCAATTGGCTCCCCTGCGCCCGGCCTTCAGTGACCTCATACGTGATGATCGGTACAGGAATAGCTTCGGGACGAACACTTCACAGAAATCGGACTTAATTCGGAATTCTAGCTCGGGCTAATATGAAACACCGAGTATTTTCACTGAATTATGGAATCCTTGGAAAGTACCTTACCCGTCGTGATATGGTCAAATCTAAGAAAAAAAATTCATAGACTTTTTGGTACTTCTTGCGCAAATACATGTACTAGGCTGGCCAAATTTATAAGCAAAGTAGTGATTTCGTCTTCGGCAAAAACTCATTGAGTCGGCAAACTGAAGGAGGGTGTGCCATACTAAACAATCCCTGTTGTTAAGGACAAAATAAGGACATTGAACGCAATATTTGAGCACTTAAAAAAAAATGTAATTTTAAGGTTTTCCCGGCTTTTTACATATACATTATTTATACAAATTCACCAACTCTAGCATTCAATTTCGTCCGAGAAAAGTTTCACACGCTCTTATCAAATCCATTTTAGTAATTTACCATTCGATTTCACAGTTTGGTCACCCTTTTTAGTCACCGGGTCGAGAATATTCGTCATTACAGATCAAATTCGTCTAAGCTGATGCCGAATGGCAACATTCAGAGATCGAATTCGTCTTACATAGGCTATATCAATTAGACGAATTTGATTTCTGAATAACGACGTTTGGCGTTGACGAGACGAAATCGAATACTCTGGGACGAAAACGCGTGCTCATTGTTTGAATTTGCTTGAACTAAATTAAAAATTGTCGGACAAAAGACGAAATTAAACATTGGAAGTGCACTAAATCGATGTTGATGGACAAATTTGAATATGAGCAACATGTTTAAAATAGCTAGGAAAACCTATAGTAGTCTCTTCAAAATTTCCAAGGGATTAACCTTGGCTCTGACCTTCTAAGGAATTGACCTTGACCATGGTATGTAGTAGTGCAATTCGGTTCCCCGCGTCCTCTGCAACTATGAGGATTTGGCGTGAAACCGGGGAGTGGTTTGACGGGATGTATTCGTTCCGGGCTTGATGTAGGGCCTAATTATGCATCTGGGGCTTGGTGGAACCGTTGGTTCCTGGCGGATATGAGCCACAGACAGGAAGAACAAAAACTGCAATGAGTTACCTGTCACGCGCTTACAGAAATATGATATCATTATGATATCAAATTATTTGGCTTTCCCCGTTCTTGAAAATTTGACTATAGGACTCAAGCAGCTACGTAAAATCGTTTCAGATATCGCAAGAGCACAAGGGAGGTATAATTTTCGATGTTAGTTTTATTAAATTTGGCATTATTTTGTTCTAAGTGTTAAGTTATGGCCAGAAAAGAAACCAGTTTTTTTCTCAAGTAGTTGGGGAAATTTAGAGGGAGATGCTGCGCCGGAGATAGGGGGATGTGTACAGCATCTTCCTCGAACAAGATGAAAGCTATTTTGTGTAGTGGTTGGACGGTATCCAGAAGGAGGAAATGACCAAAAAGGTGGGCGGGGTGCGATTTTTAAGCTCTGGCAGGAGCTTCTACATGTCACTTGGTGGTTGGTCGGTCGGTCGGTCGGATGGTCTGTCTGTCTGTCTGTCTGTCGCAGTCACACTTGTTTCATTTTTAAGAATGCGAGCAAATGATAGATTTGGAGTGGACGCAAAATGAAACCTCACTATCTGGGGTGAGTGGCTGTGTATGATATAATGAATTGATACGTGACAAATATAGTTTGTGCTGGTCCCAGAGATCCCAGGCTATA